TCTGAAGTCATGGAGAGTTTGTCATAAAAGCAGAACACTTCTGCAGAGCTGATCTCTCATTGTTCTTACCTCTGGACACACAGATGTCAGTGTTCAAGAGTAACCTTACATTGTTGTGGCAAAAGAGTGCTTGCACTGAGAGATGGAGCTCTGGTAGCGTACGTGCCTGACTTCTGAGGAACAGAGGGGTGACGTTACACTGAGTTTGTAGGAGCGGCCACAACAAACAGCACGGGCTATAAAAGTCTGAGCTCTGGGACACTTGTGTGCTGAGACTAGAACCCTTATGGTGTCTTGAGCATTAGTCACATCTTTTAACTTGCTGCTTAAAGGAGTGTTATTTGAGGACACAAAATTGTAAAACTACCGCTGGGTTCAACCGTACCCTGACAATACCTTTATACCAAATATAAAGTTGACTTCTATCACAAGAACTCTGTAAAGAGAAATAAAGTAAATTCATCCAAAGGAGGGGACTGATGTTGAAAGCTTAAGCTGAACATCAAGTTGTGTAAGCAGCAGACTATCAAGAACACTCTGAAAAACCTTTGGCTTCTTGCAGTGGTTGAGAGGAAGGGAAATGGTCTTAAGTTTAATCAAGTTGTAATGTTTTAGCCAATTTCAGTAAGGAAATGGTCTTGCTCTGCATCTTCCTTTGCTCTGTTTACATGTGCAGTAGGTTGTAAAAAAATAGGGAAACAACAACCTGTTGGCCTTGGCACCTTGCTTGTGGCGTGTACTTCAAGGTCACTTAGCTCTGTTTCTGTTGACTTTCACTGTACCGGGGAATCTAAGAGGACACATCTTGTTCAAGTGTTTTGGTAAACTCCAGATTTTTAACTATTTAGTACAGCTGCTCAAATTTCCTAAGTCTGAACACTCAGGCTTTACTGTCTGTCTGCATTTTGGGGGATGTTTAGGTACAGCATTTCAGGAAGAAGTCAAGAGACTAAATTTCTGCTGTCACAGAATGGTGCTGAAACAATTTCTCATGTAGGGTGGTCATTCGGGTCAGTTGGGACTCAGCTGGAGCCAAACGACATCAATAGTAGGTTCTCCTACTATGTCTTCAGGGACATCCGTTTTTGGAAGTAGAAACAGGAATACTGACCCAATGGTGATACGTGTTCGGCCTTTGGACTTCTCTAGCTACCAGAAATAACTGGTGAAATGGCTTATGACAGTAGTGCTGCACCTCTGAGCTGTTCTGGTGACTTAGGAGGTCTGAGTGTGAGTAGTTAGCATAGTCCTCTGTACGCTTACTTAATTAGCACCTTCCATAACAAAGTGCTGACTTCTGAAGTACTCTTTCACTGTAACTGTACAGTTAGAATTTGAGTCCTCTTTATCCTGCTAAATCGGTCAGAGCCCTACATGCCCAGTGCACCTTTCGCATGTTTGTTAATTCCACTGACGTGCGCTCTCTCAAGAAAGATACACCAGCACATCTGAGAGAACCTGTTGGCAGCTGCAGGACCAGGCATTGCCATACTGTGTATTGATTTGAAGTAATAAACTGAAACAAACCTACCTGCATCTCGCTGTCTGCAATGGTTTTAACTTGCTTAGTGAAAACACGAGCTGGTGGTTTTACCAGAAGCCCTTAACCAGCCTTACACACCTCTCTGCCCATTCAAACCTTTCTTTTAGGAAGAAGCTGAGAAAAAGCACCAAATCATCAGATCAAAACATTCAGAAAACAAGGGTTATGTTTTTCTGAAAGAGCTGTAGTGCGCACGTACTGTGGGAGCCTCGCGGTTGACTGAACTGAGAGGGTTCACCCCAGGATAATAGTGGAGACGCAAAGCATATGACACAAGTGTGACTGCTGCCTGTGGTGAAAGACCTAAAAAGCTGAGAAATGGAGTTGTTTGGTGTGCAATACCCAGTAGAACAACACTGGTACACTTAAATGTTTTGCACTGTATCATTCCAGAAGAGTCAGTAAATTATTTTAAAAGCAGGCTGCTTTTTATTTTGATGAGAGTAAACCTCAGTGATCCTAAGGTTTTGTTCTAGAAGACAGAAGAACTAAAGAAGGGCTAGCAAGGACTAAAGTTTGATACTTGCTTACAGTCTGTCCTGAATGTGTGAGCTTTATTCCTGTGGACGTACTTGGCACGGTTAGTTGAGGTGGGAGGCAAGAATAGAGGAGAAGAGCTGTGACTTTCGGATTCCGTAGGACCAGCCATGGCTGCGGAGGTGCAGGCTTTCGTGCTAAAGCTTCCTGAGAGGGCGGGTGCCGTGGTCCTGCTGTGCAGCAGGTGCCACCCTTGCGTGCGCTTCGGTTCACTTGCATTACCGGGTAGTTGGAGCTGACACCAGTGCTCAGAGGTGTGGTGGCTGTGGTTTGTTCCAAGTACCCGTCCTGGGTTGCAGTGATAGAGAAATGGCTGCTGTGTGGAACTAAACAGCTAGTTTGAATGAAACCTTTTAGACTTCTTATCTACAGTCTGATCACCTGCAAATTTCCTGTTTTTCTTCAGGTGGTATGATCCAAAACCTGCTGCTGCAAGCTATGAAAATAAGAGCCTTTTAAGGGGGTGGGGCAGGGAGGGGAACCAACCCAAAAGCTTTTTGTGTTCTATCTCGCTATATAAAATGGTGTGGTTTTGAGCGACTGCCTGATCACAAAGTGGTGACTTGGGGGCAAATGTGGTGGGTGTCCTTGACTAAGTCTGTTTTCCATTTTTACAGGGTTGGCGTGTTGGAGGACACCTTCACCTGTCTCGGTGTTTTGTGTGCCATTGTATTCTTTCCAATCGGGATTCTGTTCTGTCTTGCACTGAGGCAGAGAAGATGCCCTAATTGTGGGGCAGCTTTTGGCTAAGGGGATGAATGTGGAGGTGCTTATGGAAGCTACAACTGTTAGCATACTCTTTCTAATGTAAATGTCATGTACAATCATTTTATTTGCTTCAGACCTGTTTTGTAAAGTGTGAAGAAATTTAGTCTCTTGCATGTAATTTAAACTTAATCTTTTATGAGCATGTGCATTGCGAAACATGAAAACCCAACTTGTTTTCCATGTTTAGTGGCACTTGTTGAAAACTAAATAAAACTGCTTTTCCTTTTGCAATCTTCAATTTGTGGCTGGATTATTAAGTATGTGACAAATGTGCCTGTTACCACGTAGTATGAAAGTGGATTTAGTAATCCTAGCTACAAAGAAGGGTATTTGCCAGAATCCGTATGATAAAAAAGACATGGCTTAGGGCTGTACTTGTTTAAGCACATCGGGTGTTCCCGAGGAAAGTGTTGCAAGTGTTGTGTGGGCTACCACTATGCTAATGGCCACGGTCGAGTAATAACAAACTGAAGAGCTCTGTTTTAATTACAAAGGTTTTGCTTATAGGGACACACGTGATGTCCAGGGGCTGCAGTGGCAGTGTCCCACCTGCTATAGCAGAAGCTTCCTAACACTGTGGAACTGATAGTAGCATATCTGACTGCAGTAGGGGGCTCTTCTCTAGAGAGGCTGCTGCACCACCATGTGTGAGCTGCCCTGAGTGAAGATTTTTGCATTTCAGATGATTTAATTCTGATACTGAATTAGTGGAAGTTTATACAGGCTAGGCTGACTTGCTCCTAACATGCTTGAGAAAAGTGGCTCAGGTGTAAGTTAGTTACACTTCTGAAAAGTCTATGTTTCAAAATGAGATAATGGGTATTTATGCAAGGTTCCATAGCAAGGGCTGTGTCCTCAGCCCTGAACGTCAAAGGCAGGGTGAGGGCTCTGCCTCTGCTGCCATCACATGCTCACAGACTATTTTTTGATATTAAGTAACTGAAAGGCACTTCACATGACTTGAATTCCCTGTTTATAGTACTGAGGCAGGCACAACAAAATGAATACCCACAGGAAGCTGTGGGAGGCATGTACTCAGGGAAAGCAGAATGACTTAGAGTGAGGGTTGATCAGGGGCAGCAGTCACAACACAGACTTCATCAGGCAGGTGGGAAATGCCACCAGAACTGTACAGTGACAAAGCACCCAACTCCACTGCTGCAGAGCCTAGAGTCAGTTTCTAACATTCTGGGCTAATCTCTGAGGCAATCATTACTACAGGGAAAAGGCTTTCAGGCAGGCTAGCTCCACTGGATGTAGAAAATCTGTGCCTGAGGTAACAAACTGTACACCTCTCCTCCTGGCTGAGGTGAAAAGCTGTGTTTCACTTAACTCAGATGCTATACTAGGCTCCTTACCCAGGAATTTTCAAACTTAATCTGTTTTTCTTTTGTGGAAGGCAGGAATGGAATAACTTCAAAGGCAGCTTTTTGTATTAGAATTTGAGGGAAAAAAAAATCATGGCACTGGTTTATTACAGCTTTTTATAAGACTCAAGTTTGACAAAGTGTGTTAAAGAAAAAGTTATTGAAGAATGTGTTGACAGTATAACATTAGACTTAAGAGGTTTATGTTAACACTTGAAAATTTGCATCTGAACATTAAGCAAAGCACTACAAGTTGTCTATTCTTAAAGGATAAATATTTATTTATAACCTAGGGTGTCTGTCTTAAACAAAATAACATATAATCACTTTATACAGACAATTCTCTGTTCTGGAATAAGGCAGTTACATTGTTCTGTTTGGAAAAAAAAATCATCTTATTTCATAAGTGGCATATGCAGGCTTATGTTCTAGAACTTAGCATTGCAGTTTCCAAATAACAAATGCCGAAGATTCAGATTTGGGAGCTATTAGTTACACTGGCTTACTACAGTATCCAGACTATCTCCAGTATTTTCACAATTCCCACTACAAAAAAGGTGTACTGTCAAATCAAGCCGAAGTGCTCAAATATTAGCCCAAAGCAGTTACCTCATTAGAAAGTATGTTTTTTTTTAAAAAAAAAAAAAATCAGAAATCCTTTCCAATATGATTCTATTATACAGTAATTACATTTAAATAAATTTTTAGAACAAGTTGTAGATAGTAGTTGTCATTACTGAAAATGGTGTTGTTAAGGAGGAAGTACGTGTGTGTGGACTGTATATTCATTGAATAATTGGTGCTGATCTGTCGTTTGTTACTGTTGGTCTGAGTTTCACAGTTGCAAAAGGATTTTCTCCACTGAAAAGAAATGCATAACGTTACTAGAAGGCTTGCTGCGATAAAACACCAAATTTAAGCCATGCGGTTTCTTCATCCAGGTGGTCTGAAGACTTAAGTTATGGTTTTAGACTCAGTTTAACCTGAATTTTTAAAACAAGCTTATATATGAAGACTCACTTTGCAGTGATAGAAAATTTTGGAAGTTAATGCCCAGTTTAGATCTGGACTTTTTTTTTTTTTAAACAGCTTCCAGACTTCAAAGATTTTTGTTTATAACTCTCAAAGACCAAGTTTAAGTCCTGCTCCCTGTCAAACTGCTGGAAAAATGCTTATTTTTCCAGGAAGGGCCTATGCACTATATTGTACCCAATTCCACTCTTGAGAAAAGTGCAACCAATTTTACCCACGAGTTTACGAGTGCCTAGGAAAGGTCAGGGAGTAATTCAGGAAAAAAAATCCTTATTTCCCCTAACAATCAATACAAGAACATAAGCCAATATAAAAATCAACACAACTAAATCAGTGTAAAAGCATTAAAAAACATACCTTAGAAAAGGTGGTTTTATAATGCCATTCATATCAGGTTTCTGTAAAAGAAAAAGAAGATACTTACACAGATTTACAAAAATTTGCTACAGATAATAGAATAATACAGAATCTTGCCATCCTGCTAAGGAGGAGAAACCCTGTCCCTCAAGCAGGCCAAAATATTTAGTTATTTAGAATAATTACTGCATCATTCAGTTTAACTGTGGAGAGGGAGTTGTGGAGGGGAGAATTATCTCAGAACATCTTAATTAGAAAGTTAAGAAAATGGTGTTAGCATTAGTTTGTTGTTTGGTTGGTTTGGTTTTTTTTTTTTTTTGGTGTGGTATCCATCCCCTGCCCCCCCAGTTTAAGACCAGTGGTCACCTGTGTCCAGCTGGGCTTCCCATAGGTGAAAACAGTAAATGAAATGCCACTGCAACAGCAGTCAACCAAAAGTAAAAGGCCAGCCCTACTTGCAGCCCAAACATCACACCCTATCGTTTCTACAGCAGGATTTATAACCTGCAAAGTGCCAAAGCTCGGCTGGGAGCAGATCTTAGAGCGAACAGTCGGTAACTGTAGAGTCATGAAGTTAAAAAAAGGCAGCAGCCAGCAGAATGACATAATATGTAAATATTCAAAGCCTGAAGCGAGGGCAGATTTCTGATCAGTATTATGTAGAGTTTATGCAGCCTACTGTGTTTTACTACCGTTGATTTACAAAGTGCAAGTCTGGCTATCTCCTGTGTCTTTTGGGAGTAGTGGTGGCGAGTAAAAAGGGCAAGAAAACAACTGATGGTGTGTACATGCATAATTTGCATCGTTTGTATGGGAGCAATGCAAAGGGAGGAACAGTTTTGCATATTTACTGCTAATATTTTGTTATAATGAACCTCTTGTCCAAGTACAACCTGAAAAGACTTGTTTTTATTGCCCTAGTTTGCACTGTAGTTCTGGGATGGTGTGTACTTCATTTTTGCAAAGTTCAGCTGACCCAAAAGATGGCAGTGTGGCTCTGTCACAGTGCCACTACAGGATACAGCGTTTCAGCTGTGATAAAATGGAAAGCTGTTGCAAAGTATTACCCTTCGCCAGCCTCTTGTGTTACAGGGAAGTTTGGCAAAGAGTTAAATTCTTTTATTCCCCTCCAACTTTGAGTCATAATCGTACTTAAAAATGACATCAAACTGCAAACTAATTGCATTGCTTCTAATAGGTGTCAGATGACGTTCAATGGGAAAATTTGAATATACATCCTTGCATGC